CAAAAAAAATCAATGTGTTGAAGGATATTTAAAGCTAGAAAATATTTTGAATGGTAGAAATTTAGGGGAGATAATTATTTACTGATACAAGTTCTAGTATTTAACCCAAAGCTGAGGGGAGAAGAGGTGGATTTATGCCATTCTTAAGGCTATCTGTGTAGTGTAAGTCAACATAACAAACCCAACCAGAATTCAAACTCAACTCTCCATTTTCCATCTGCCAGCCATTATCTATTACATGACCTGAACATTCAAACTTACAACACCTGGTATTACGAAGCTGTCACCTACATAGATAATGACCAGGCTCAATGTTGCTTAAATTGGGTGATCATGTAAGAACAGATCTTTCAACATGATATGGCTATAAGCAACATATAGTGTAATGATCATTTGAAATAAATGCATATATATATATATATATATATATATATATATATATATATATATATATATATATATTGTGTGTGTGTATTCAGGCAGCATATTTTCATTCAAACAGGTTTGGTTAAATAATTTAGACATATGTTGATTTATTTTGGTTGTGATCCTTTCAAGATTATGGATTAATTTCTTGGTAGCCTTAGAAAATTGATTAAGAAAAATACCAAAATTTCCTTTCAAAAAAGGAAAACAAAAACTATTTGGAAAGAAATTTTTGGTATTTTTCTAAGGCTACAGAGAAATTAATCCATGCACTTGAAAGGATCACAATCAATCAACATGATATATCTAAATTATTTAACCAAAATATATATATATATATATAAATAAATAAAAAGAAAGAACAGTAAGATATATAATCCAGTGTTCTTATAGATATTTTTACAAAATAGTGCTCAATGTAAATTTACAGAGCATTAATATTATAAATTAATTGATTTAAAATGTTTTTTTTTTCGCTACACAGTTCTAACCATGTTTCAAAAATGGAAGCTAAAAGCCCCGAATTTAATTTTGTAATTAAATTAAAGACATTAGTTCCATTTCATCCTCAAGTGAATTTTTGGAGTAACTTTTAAAATTACTGGGTTTTAAATACACAGCTAAAAACAAAATTCATGTTTCCAAGGTTACAGATAAATCTTTTTTTTCTAGACAAGGTGACTGGGTGTTCAATATGTCTATATTTTAATGTATCAGTTATTGCTACGTTTTGGTAGTGGGTAGGATGTATTTTCAATGAAATCTAACATCCGTTAAAAAGTCTTTAAATATACGAAGAAAAAAATGCCGTAAGAATTTTAGCCGTTAACAATAAATTTTTTTTAAAAATCCAAACGGCACACTTTTAACAGCGTCATGAGTGATGAATTATTCTCCACCCAGCACTGCTCATCACACAGACAAAATGTCACCAGCCTTTCACTAATATATCCCTATTAGTATAACAGAAGTTCAGATGAGTTACCAGCTCGGGCCTTCATAACTAGGACACACCATGCCATGTTCACAGTAGTAAAACATCTTCCTCAGAGCTGTTACTGTGGAACAGACTCCCGAGAGAATGCTTCCCTGACAATTACAATTTTGGTTTTCTTTACATCCAGGGTAAACCAATATCTATCCTACTCATCCTCATAATTCTCTCTTACTTCCCCCCCCTTACAATTTCATTCATTAGCCCTCTGCCTTGGGCCTTGTATCCAGTGAACTATCGGAAAATAAAACAAAAAAACACAGCACTCTCAAGACTTTCATCTGTTTGGATACATAAAAGAAAAAGCTCAGTAAACACTGCTTATCCAATGGTGATGAGGTGAATGTGACAACCCACACAAGGCTAAGAAAGTAGCCAAGTAACTTCTAGAAGGCATATGTATATTATATATATATATATATATATATATATATATATATATGCCTTCATTCAAAAGGTAGTAGAACACAATTGAAAGAAGGTATTCAGAACCAGGTTTGGTGTCACAAAACTGTTTTCTTTAGGTGCGTCTTACTATTGCAAATACCATTTATAGTTGCAAATAAGAAAAAAACCAGGCATTACTTATTGACTGGCCCTTTGTATGTATGCCTATGTAAATGTTTTTTTAAATGACTCTTTGCATATAAACTGTCTAAATTATGTAGTACTGTATGTTTACCATTTTCAAATATTATGCTGTTAGATATTTAAGTAAAACCTCTTTGTAATATGATAGAATTAAAAAATGGGTGACAACAGGGAAGACGACAGAGAAAATGGGCAAGACGACAGAGAAATGGGCAAGACGACAGAGAAATGGAGAAGGTAGGTGAAAATGAAGAGTGAAGGCAAAAACAATGAAGGAGGAATGTGAGTGAAAAAATAATGAAGAGGTGCGAGAGTGAAATAAAGCAATATAAAGAAGAGGAAAGGTGTGTGACAGTGGAAAACAATGAAGATGGAAGGTGTGTGACAGAGAAAGAACTAAAAAAGAGGTGTGAGATAGTGTGAAAGAACTAAAGAGGAGGGAAGGTGTAAGAGAGAGAGAGGAAACAATGAAAAGAGAAAGTATGAGAGGGAACAATGAACAAGAATGAAGGTGAGAGAGAGAGAGAGAACAATGAAGTAGAAGGAGGAAGATAGATACCAATTGAAAAGAAAGTGAAAGAGAAAACAAGCATTACTTTTTGACTCACCCTCACACGTATGCATACTTAAATGTAGAAGTTCTTTTTTATGCTTGTTAACTAAATTATGTAGCAGTGCATATATTTTTCAAATATTAATGATGCTTTTCTTATAATTTCTTTTAATATGATGCATATTTAAAATCTATTTTCAGTCAATAATAAACATTCAATAAAACCTTGGGAAAGTTACTTCTGACTAAAAAAGAAAATGATTACAAGATAAACAGATTTTTAAATATTACTCATCCTATCCCATGATGCCTCAAAATAACTGGTTTTTATGGTGAAAGTAATCAGTAGCTTAAAAGGTGCTAATCCTTGCAAAAATATTCATGTTGTCATCATAGTTCTTTACACTTCCAAAATTTAGAGCTTGCAAATAGCCACTTCCTCTGGTTACTATTCTTATCCTTCAGTGCAGTAAACAAAAGACGTGACTGTGTAAAGAAACTTCCTGCATATGAAGTTCTTTCCTTGCTGTCTTTTTCTTTTAACTAATCAATGGTCTTCTGTGACACTGAGATTGCCGGAAGTTGACCAAACAAAAAGAGAAAGAAAGAAAGAATAGGAGAGAGTCTATTAACTGGATGATAATTGTTGAAATTGCACAAAAATGGATTGAAAAGTTGAGAAGGAAATTAAAAAAAGAAATGCATTGAAAAATCATGTCTTGAGATAATTCCAATGAGAATTGAACTCAGATTTAACTCAGCAAAATTCAGTAAGATTGAGCAAACTCAAGACTTCCTGTCCTTCTCCCACCAATATGAGACCATTAAGGTATCCACAAAGATGTCAGATAAAATAAAAACATGTTTCGAATCAACCATACAGCAGAAAAAATAATTTTGGTGACATTCATCCAGAGAAAATTTTGTGTCCAGACATTAATTCAGATTTCCTTGGATGCAGGAAAAAATTAATTACTATTTTGAAATGGCCATGAGAAGGAGGGCTGTGTAGTCTAGTCAATCATAAAACAAAAGAAAAGATAAACTTCTGTTTTAAGGAGGGTGGAAATAGATTTTTCTTTCGCCAATTCTTGAGTGGTCTGGTCAATCGAGAAATCACAGCATGGGACAAGCTGATAAAGAAGAACTAATGACTGAAAATCCCTTTTGTCTTTGCTGCATCATCTGGAAGTTGGATTTATCACTCCAGCCCCAGGAAGCCAAGCTAAGGTTGGCTCTTAAGAAAGTGGGAGAAGGGAGAGGAAGGAGAAGGGAGAGGAAGGAGAAGGGAGATTAGCACTGCCTGCAAGGCAAAGTGTAAAGAGTGTGGAGGTTAAGAGGTGTCTTATTTCCCCAAATTTGGAAAATCACTTGAGTAAATGTATTTTTCTATATGGAAATTTGGTAAAGGTTGATACTTAGGGTAGAAAGCAACTGAACACAGACCCTAGTCAACCCCACCCCTACTGGATGCAGGACTGAAGATTTTTGGCTCAGAAACAGTTGAGTGGATTTGAGAGATAGAAGAACAGGAGAGACACACTGGAATCTGGATCATTCACCAAAACCTTGTGCCAGACATGAAGACAAAAACATAGAAATTTAAGTTACAAAAAAACAAGTTGCAGACTCTAAAAGGGGATCCCAGTGTTATTTGATTATAACAAGTGGGAAGGGTTAAAAACCGCTGTATGCAACAAATCATATATAAACCAAATTGTTGTTACATTTTTAACCAGAGTTAATTCTTTATTCCAAAGGATTTTTGCTTAGCTCCCAAGTTGTCGAACTGTCTCCACTTCAAGTCTGCTTAATCAACAACCTTCTCACCCTCTGAGATCAAAAGCACAAGGAGTGAATGGTCATGAACAGATGAATGTCAGCTCAGTCAAGTGGAACCATGCCACCAACATAATACCAGCAACAAAACGAGTCATGTTAACGAGTGAAGAGTCAGCTAATTGGTTACTGCTGTCTAGGGCCATAGGAACATATTTGGTTACCACTAAGGACCGACACTGGGAGTTGTGCATATTCTGGATAAATTGGTTAATATTTAACAAAAAAACGTAAGATAATAAAATACATATCATTGATAGCCAGATGCTGCAAAAAATGACAATCTTCAGGCAAACAGATCATATTTAGTAAGCTTTTAATAAAAAAAGAAAAATTAATTTAAACATTCAAAAATAAAGAAGAGTAAAAGAAAGAAAATAAGAAAAGGAAGCAGAAAGTGAAGGAGAGAGATAAAGTAACACTAAAGGAGTGAGGAGGAAAGAAAGAATGCAGGGAAAGATGGAGAGGGATTAAAAAAAAAAACAGAGGCAGAAAAGGAAGTGAAGGAAAGAGAAAGCGAAAAGGAGAAGAAAAGAAAAACTAGAACAGTTCAGAAAAAAGACAGCAAAAAAGAAAATAAAAGGGGGGGGAAAAAGTTTAAAAGAGGACTCGTGGGAGAGGAAGGAGAGAAAAAGGAGATCCAGGAGAGAGGAAGGAGAGGAAGGAGATAGGAGAGAGGAAGGAGAGAGGAAAGGAGAGGAAGGGAGAGATAGGGAAGGAGAGGAGAGAGAGGGAGAGAGAGGAAGGGGAGAGAGAAGGGAGAGGCAAGGGGAGGGAGAGAGAGAGGAAGGGGGGAGGAAGGGGAGAAGGAAGGGGGAGGAAGGAGAGAGAGGAAGGGGAGAGGGAGGGGAGGAAGGAGAGAGAGAGGAGAGAGAGAGTGTGACCAATTGAGAAGAGAGAAAGCAAGAGTGTGATCAATTCAGAAGAATGGGAAAGAGACCAATTTAGAAGGAAAGAGAAAGAGACCAATTGAGGAGACAGCTAGAAAGAGAAGAATTGTGAGAAAAGGTGCGAGAACTAGCAAAACAAGGGGGAGGGTAAGTGATGCATTAATAATGAAAATAAGAATAAAGTTTGGTACTTAGCTAATGCACTCACCATGGCTAACTGTTGGTCTGTCTTTGTTAAATGTTGATTTATAAAAACACAGTTGGTTGTAAAGCGTGGAATCCGTGTACTGTAAAAAGAAAGCAGAATGCGAAATAATTTAGCATGGAGGTGATAAAATGATTAAATGACAGGATTTAGAAGTTGTTACTGTTGACACCAAATATTTGAAGAAATAGATTGGAAGAGAGGGAAAAAGCATGTTTAAATACAGAGTGAAAAATGGATAGGAGTGGGGAAAAAAAGGATAAAACAAAAAGCAGAAGAGAGGAAAGAGTGGATTAGAAAAAGGTAAAGACAAATGGGAATCAGAAATGAAGAGAAAGAGGATGAAAAAAATATGAAAGAAATAACTTGTTAATGAAGAAGGTGGAGAAAAGAAAAAGTAAAAAAAAAAAAACTTCTATGGCTGCAGTATTTTTTTTTTTAAAATGTCAGTAAATAAGATAATCAAATTTAATTTTAAACACACTGAACGTTAAACAAATTATGAGATATCAAAATTTCTTTTGAAAACTAATTTTGAAACAATTAATCGATTACTATAAATGTTATATTTATTTATAATTGGTACACATTTGAGTAGGCATAACATCTTAAATGGTTTCGTCAGCATTGATTTCACTCTTTAAAAACAGTCTAGTCAAACTGTAGTAAAAAATTTGTCAAATTGTTCTTTCTTCTGGCTTGTAATCAATTCCTGCAATCCGTTTTCCTTTAGTCAAATACTTTACTGACTGGAACACATGTAGCCTGTTTGATACAGCAGTCACCATTCTGCCTGTTGTCTCATTATGCCCTTTTTTATTTCTTCATTGACAATCAAAACTGACATATGTGAAAAAAGACACTTATGAGAGAATATCCAACTCCAGGATTTATCTGTTTTAAAAGTGTGACCCACAAAGCCACCATTGTTCCTTTTGGGATAGTTCACATGCAAGACATGTTCAAAACCATTTTTGTTTTGGAGGTAAGCCAGTTTCTCTACCATTACGTTGCCAGTTGCAAAAAAAAAAAAAAAAAAATGCAGGCATTCCTGGCCCTCTTTGCCCCCTGCAGTAATTCCCTACACAAACACATTCACTTAGTTAATAGTTTTATAAAAATAAAAAATGTTAAATTTAGTAAAAAAAAAAAATGAATTAATTGAAAATTACATTGTTTATGTTGGTTAGTTTGTTGTTTTTGTTTAATGGCGCTCAAAATGGTTTCTCAGACTAAAAAGGTTTTTATTTCTGCCAAGAGACATTTTCTTTAGAAAAGTTTTTGATTATCTATGCTGGTAGACATTGAGTCCACTTCCAAAAAAAAAAAAAAAAAAAAAAAAAAAAAAAAAAAATAAAAAAAAAAAAAAAAGAAAAAAAAAAAAAAAAAAAAAAAAAAAAAGAAAAAAAAAAAAAAAAGAAAAAAAAAAAAAAACAAGAAAAAAAAAAAAAAAAAAAAAGTGCAAAAAAAAAGAAAAAAAAAGAAAAATAATTGATATCTACTCAAAACACATTTACCAACTAAAATATATTATTTTAAAACTGCTGACGATTTAAGAAGAAACAAAATCAAAGTTTATAAAACTATAAATAAAATCAATAAAATTGCTGCTCATGGTTGAAAATTGTGAAGAATAAATTAAAGTAACTATTTTATGCATGTTTAGTTTAAAACTTCTCTTGGTATTTCCTTCCCACCTTTGACTCATCCCCCCACATTTCTCAGAAGTCTTCAACCCAGGACAAATGAAATATGGTCAGTATAATCTTTGGGCATCAGTTTTTAAAAAAAAACACAAGAGAAATGTAGAAATGTAATTTAGTAATTTGTTGTTGAGCAGAAAATATCAAGTTTTCTATTTATTTTGACGAACAGGATCGACTGAATGTTCATGGAAATTTTGAAATAGAATACAAAATAATTCATGTAAGAGTACTTGGAAAGTAATTATGTATTTCACTACTAGGAATTAGAGCCAAGGCAAAACTAAAAACTAAAACTAGATTTATTCAGAATGGGTGGAAAAAATTTATTGAAAAACTTAAAATTTTTAAAATCATATTTCCTTGAAAAACAAAATTTTTTTTGATATGTATGGTAAAAATTATTGCTAGTTTTTTTGTTTTTATTTCAGAGTGACAATGTCCAGCCAAAATGACACAATGCCTGACACTGCATGAGTATGCTCAGCTAACATCATGTAATGAAATCAGTCAGTGGCACAAATGCAAAGATGGTAGCTCAGTGTTTATGGATGCTGTACTTCAACAGATGCCAAAACTATCAGAAATTGTCTTCCAAGTGGATTAGTAAGGATCTGTGTTAAAATTAAAAATAAAAGCAGTTGTCCCTCAACATCCAAATTGGAAGAAAACAAAAAAACATACAGGAAATGTATATTTTGTACTGAATTAATTTAGACCATTATACTGTTCAAAATAAAAGACATGTTTTATGGAAATCAATCAATAATTTAAAAGTTATTAACAGTTTTAATGAAGAGTTTCTTAAGACCCACCCTGTAGAATGAATCATCTCTTATTTGAAAAAACGACAACCTACTTTGGGTAAAAGTAAAGAAAATCAAAAAGACGTGTATCACATATATCAAAAAACTGACTGAATGCATTTTAGAGTTTAACAATCTGAACTTGAAAAAAGCAACATATTTGATGTTGAACTGCTACAGAGGCATTTTAAAAATATTTGTTGAAAATACAAATGCAGCTATGGTTTAAACAAGGTGATTATGATATACCCAATAAGCCTTTCTCTGGAACATTGATTTGTTTTTTATGGCTTATCAACCTGTTGCAGTTTATTTAAAGTCAGAAAAATATTTTTGAATTTTAAGAACCTTTTGAAGATAATGATTTATTGATAAAACCTTACTATTTAATACATATTTGAGGGAGAAAAGTGAATTCATCTCTTTCCCCAAGTTATTAGTGTGTAAGTGAATATAACGAACCTGATTAGAAGTGGAACTTGGCTCTCCATTCTCCAATTCCTCTTCTTTGTTATTTAGTGTTACTTTACATCTCTCCTTCATTTTCCTCTTACTTCATTTCCCACTTTATAAATTTTACTCTTTCAAAATCGCTGAATATTTAAATTAATTTTTTTCTTCAATTCCTATAAAGTATCCATCAATCCAACAGTCTGTTTTCATCTAACACATCCAAGTTTACAGCATCTGATATTCCTAATGAAGTCACCCATCTACTATGTATTGACCAGGCTTGAAATTTCTTAATCCTTCTGATAGAATCTAAAAGGAATTTCAACATGACATCTATTTAATCCTTTTTGCTCTATAGAGGATATATTTATAAAACATTAAAAAAGTCTAATGAATACAGATTAGAGTGCCAGAAATTTGGTGCAACAAAGTTTAATCATTGATAGGCATCAAGCAAATCAGCATAGACAGTAAAGGATTAGATAAGAATGGTCAGAAGTGCACAACATGATAAATAATTGGAATATTTAAAATTTCAAGAAAACATTACCTAAAATTCTCAATTTAAGTCAGTTTCTGCACTTAAAAAAAAAATCATTATTATTATATATAAAATATAGAAATTTTAAAAATATGCATTTGACAAAACTATGTCAATAAGATATTATTATCTTTTTTTAAGGATTGATCTTATGAAAGACTGGGACACACAGGGGACCATTTGATGAAAAGATGAGGAAATTTTTGCGAACTTCAGTGGCACATATGGGATCATCACATTGCATCCAGCCCTTGAAAGAAAGAAAGAAAAAAAAAAAAAAAAAAAAAAAAAATGAACAGATTAATAGCAAGTCTAATCAGCTGAATAAAGTCAAACTGGCAGCTAACCTAAAAAATAACCTACAATGAGTTGTTAAATGGGGCAAGGAGTGGCTTGTAAATTTCTACCTTTCACTAGTGTGGCTGATGCTAATCTCCAGGAGTGCGACTGATTACATCTTCTCTGACTAATGTTTTCAGCTGACATGAATTGGAAAGATTATATTGAATCAATTGCTAATTCTGCAGCTAAAACAGTTGGTTCACTATGATGTGCAAGACAATTTTTTTTTACCAGAATCGATGTTACATATTTATAAATCTATCATTTGTTCTTGCTTTGAATATTTTCCTCACCATTATATGGTCTGGTGAAGCTACATATTTAAAATAGATGAAAAAAAAATCCACAAAATAATTCTCTGTGCCTTTTCTATAAATATTTCCATAGTAATTGTTCTAATGAACTTTACTCTATGGTACCTAGACTTTATGAATTTAAATGCAGTATTTGATTGGTGGCAAGGTCTTTTTGCCTGTGGAACTCTCTCCTGGTTTCTTGCTTTCCAGCTAACTTTGATGTGGTTAGGCTGTGGCCCTACACTCCTGGTAGAGTCTACTAGCATTAAAGACGAGGGAGGATGGTTACCATACACATCCATTTATTATTCTATCCAGCTAAAAAGAAGTGAAGTTTGAATAAATACATTGTATCATGCAGAAAAAGGTGAATCTGCAATGGAAAACAGGAGTTGAGAGTTTTTTATTTGCACATCATTGGAAGAAAATGGATAGTATTTGGATTTTGAATCTGAAGGTAATGTGCCTTCATCTCAATCATGACACCACATGCATTATCCAAAGATATGTTCAATGCAACAACAGTTAATTTAAAAAGTTATACTGCACTGCATTAGCCAATCAAGACATTTCACATTGTGCTCATTCATTCCTAGAAAGGTGCACGTATGTCTAAATTTAATTGTTGGCAAAACTCTTTTGGAACTGACACCCCACTGTAAGTTACTTAAAATCGTTCCAAAGGCTGCTCAGACTATTTGCATTCAAATCTTTTTTTCTATTTGTCTTGTTTGACACCACAACATTGTGATCAACCTCTTATAGGAAGAGCATACATGTTTCGGGTGAGAAGAAAAATAATGTTTTATTCTTTTCGTAAATCTAATGCTAGGAAAGAGAAAGAAAAAGAGGAAAAGAAAAAGAGGAAAAGAAAAAGAGATGGGGATTGGTGGGGGAAGAAAAAGAGATGGGGGGAGTGAGATAAAAAGAGATGGGGAAGGGGGAGGAAAAAAAGAGATGGGGATGGGTACAAAAAAGAGATGGGGATTTGAGGTACAAAAAGAGATGGGGACAACAAAAAAGAGATGATTTTAAAATGAAAAAGAGATATTGATAAAAAAGAGATGGGGACAATAGATAAACAAAAAGAATAAGGAGGGAAAAAAAGAGATGAGGAGGGAATATTTACAAAAAGAGATTTTTCTTAGAAAAAAGAGATGAGGAGGGGAGGGGTACAAAAAATGATGAGGAGAGGGAGAGTCAGGGGATGAAAAAGAGATGAGGAGGGAGGGCAAAAAAAGGGAGGGGGCAAAAGGAGATGGGGGACAAAAAAAAGAGATTAAGAGGGGCAAAAAAAAGATTTTGTGTGTGAAAAAAAACAAGAATACAAAGAAAAATAATAAAATTAAACTAAAAATTAAACTAAAAATAAAAAAGGAAAAACTTCTATAATATAAAACAATTACCCTTATATATTTGTTGGTGACAATCGTATATTCCCTTGTTATGATTACAGAAGCCATTACTTTACTCTGATGCTTCATATTAACAATGGAATAATCTCATTAGTAAGGGAGATTAGTCATTGCTTTTGATTTATTTCATATTAGCTTTCTTTCGATATTTTTTACTTTTAATGATTTTAAAAACATTCTTTCTTAAATGTGACAACAGACTTAATTATATAGATAAAAAAAATCTTAGATTACACATGCAGAAAATCTAACCAATGTAATTACAAAATTACTTTAAAATCACCATTTTTCTGAGAGTACAAGTCCTGTTAACTTTGAATATTTTAATTTCAATGCTTTAAAACACAAAAGTCTTTTGTATATGAAAACAGAGTTAATTGTATACATAAACTAGGTTACACATACAGAAAAGGTATTGACATGATGGCTTCATTTTTAACAGTAGGGCTATATTAACTTTGGATATTTTAATAATTCAAAATGCATATTTTTTTTTTTTTTTTACATGGATCAATAGGGTTAATTCATCAAAGAAAAATCCAAGATTACTCATGCAGAATATATAACCAAGGCAATTGTAAAATTGTTTAAATAAGGCCTATATTTATTTATTTTTTAATACTAGGAAATTAAAAAAAGGTAGCAAATATATTAATCAGAACAATATCTTGACAGCACATGTAATGAAGGCTATTCAAAAATCATAGAAGGTAAAGTTGTTAATAATTTAGAAAATTTAAAAATTGATAAAAGTAACTGTCAATCAGACTTTACAGTGTTATTGTTCCTGCTAAAATTACATTCTTTTTGACAATGTCTACTTAAAGTCTCGACCTTTTCTTACCTGATAGTATTGTTTGATGTGTTTCCTCATGGTAATAACTAGTTGGTTAAGGATTTTATCGATGTAGGTTTTAGGTGCCAATGAACATGATTGGTTTGCACAGCGATCCAAGGACCAATCATTCTAAAAAAAAAAAAAAAAAAATAATGATGAAGTCTCTGTTCATACATTTTTAAAAAAAAAAATAAATAAATAAAATAAAAGGCAACACATTTCAAACTTTTAGGCATATTAGTGGTTTATTATTGTTTGTTTTAATGACTTTAAATATATAAACCACATAAAAGAAATGTAAAAAAAAAAAAAAAAAAAAAGCGAAAAACAATTTAACCCATATCCTCCTGATGTCAGTTTAGACTGACACTGACTTTTATCTATATATCTAAACTATAATTATAAACGAATTTTGTAAAGTGAAAATTTCACTGAAATATGTCGGAAAATTTCCAGATGTCCATTTGAAATCTAGAAAATATGAACTTTCTGTAAAATGGTCACAATACACAGAAAGAAAAGAAAAAAGTCGTCATTTTAAACTGACACAAGGATATAGATTCAGGTAGCTCAAATTTAAATTCAATTTGTAAGCTATGTACACAAATTAATCCCTCTACAATACATATCTCATGGTAGGATCATCATCAGCCAAGGTAACCAAAGCATTCATATTGATTAATACAGGGTATCCATAAAGTTCGTGTGCACTTTAAAAAAAAATTTTTATAACTTTATCTGTATTTGCGATAGAAATAATCTGTAAAAAGGATTAGAAAGAAGTAAATCTATATTTTTAAGGTTTTATTGAAATTTTATTTAAGTTTCCACATGTCCTCCATCATTTGCAATACAAAGGGTAATACGATTTGCAGTTCACGGAAAACATTTGAAAACTGATTTACAGTACTAATGCCTGAAATCACATTAGTTATTTTAGCTATACTTAAAACTAGGTACATTAAACTTTATAACATTTTTTACAGATTATTTCTATCGCAAATAAAGTTATGAATTTTTTTAAGTGCACACGAACTTTATGAACACCCTGTATATGATTCTGACCATTTCAATGGAAACTGAATCTAATTGATAAACTGTGCAAAACATATGACATAAAGACATCATCAAAGTCATCAGTGAAATTAAATTCATTTATTTCTTCCTCTTCAAATTTATTATTATAGTTAAGAATGGTCTGCAAGTTCTCCCAGGTATTTATAAATCTATGAAAAATATTATCGAAAAATCACTAAATAAATCCCTAATTTTGAAGTACACTGCTACTATATGGAAGCTGCCATGTTGCTTAGCATAAAATATTTAATAGTGTGTACTCTTTTACTAGTTGTAAATTATAAAAATTATAGTTAATAAATAAATTATAAGTATTTTAAAAAGGGGAATTACTTTTCAATCACCCTGTATATATAAAGATCTATTTTAATATATCAACTTTGTACTGTCATCTAAAATTTTAGTTGGAATTTTACACAATAATATGCAAAATTAATTATTATAGATATTTATTTGGTCTGTGATTAAGCAACAAATAGTGTTGCACTAATCTTCCAAAGAGTAGTGCTTGGATACCTTGAAAATCAGCATTCAATATATTGTTTTTAACTGGGCTTGAACACCAACTTTAGATACTGATGAGAATATTTAACTTTCCTTAGCTACCCAACAAACTCAAAAATATATTTTTGACAAAATCCAAAGAAGAATTTGGAAGCTGCCATGTTGCTTAGCATAAAATATTTAATAGTGTGTACTCTTTTACTAGTTGTAAATAAACATGTTTGGTTGGCCAGTTGATCTGGAAAGAGTTAAACTTCAAATTGTATTCATGGTGCGAAATTTAAGGAAATAATCTACTCATTATGTCTATGTGTATGTTTTTTTTTGTTTTTAACAGCCTGAGTTTCCACCTTGTATCTATTACAAAATCTACACAGTGCGGAATATTGTAGATGTCTGTGCTTGTAGCCCAAAGAATTATTGCCATAATTCCAACAAAAAGAAAACCGCAAATTATATCAATAACAAAATAGGCAATAACCAAGAAGTCTGTGATGGTAAGTTGTGATATTTTTTTTTCAGTATAAATTTTGATATTCAAAAAAATTCTTAAAAGGTCTACCATATTTAAAATGGAAGTATCTGGACTAATTTTTAATTGAATATCACAATGCTTTAAAAATCAAGTCATCAATAAAAATAATTTATATTGTAATGAGTGTGTTATCTATAAACTTATGTCCAGGAATTGTTTGATAAGTTGTGAGATTTTTTATATATATATGTATGTATGTATGTATGTATGTATGTATCATGTATATTTAAGCAGCATATTTTCGTTCAAACAGGTTTGACAAATGAGATTGAAAGTACTTGGGAGAATAAAAACTATTTGAAAGAAAATTTTGGTATTTTTCTTAATTTTCTAAGACTATCAAGAAATTAACCTGTGAACTTGAAAGGATCACAATGAAAACTAATCAACATGCTATGTCTCAATTATTTAACAAAACCTATTTATATATATATATATATATATATACACATACACAAAAAAATTTAAAAAGATTAGTTCTAAAGATTAGGTGATATAGATATTGTCACATGACAAATTACCATGTTACAATATGCAGGTTCAAATTTTGGCTAAGGTCAATCTTTTGTTCTGCATTTTTTTTTTTTGTGTGTGTGTAGATCAGAGCTGGTATTATTTATTCATTTTATACTTAACATTTTAAATATCTCTGCAATGTGTTTTTCATTACATCTCACAATACTGAGATTAAAAGCAACAATAAGATGGAGTAAATATTCTAATAAAATCATAGTAATAATGAAGATTGTATTGACATAAAGCCTTGCAATAAAAAGCAACAATTATAAAATGAAATAAGTCTAGTAATGAAATAATAGTAATAATGAAGAATTTTTGAACCCATAAAGTTGCCATAAAAAGTAACAATAATAAGATGGGATAAAATCTTCAATAAAGTATTCTAAATCATAAATTAAGCCAGTCCTGACTAACATTAAGCTATTGCTTCATACTTTTTATTACCTGTAAATTTATAAATAATAAATTTCAATAAACAATGGTTTCCTCACATTTCCTTTACCTTCATAAACCATCATCAAGAAATTAATTTTGGCTTAACTTGACTAACAGAATTATTAATCCCCAAAATGCAATGAGTGCAAAGGGGTATCAACTAAAAATAGCAAAATAACAAAACCGGTTACAGGTTTGGCTTCTGTCTTTTTTTTTCTTTTTTTTCTATGACTTGGCAAAGGAATGAAATCAGTAGGAATATAATCCATGTTTCACGACAAAGATAAAATGAATTGTCCTAAGTAAACAAAAGAGTAATTGATGGCAGCAGTGTTCAGGTGAAGTGAGTGCAGTTTGTTCATCAATAATAAGTTTTGCAATTAATATGAGTACTTTTATCTCGTTTGCTTTGTCAAGAAGATCGTTCAAACACAAATGAGAAATTGAAAAAAAACAACAACAAAAAACAAAGAGAAAAACAAATAAAGTGAAAAATTCAAAATTCAGAAAAAAAAAAAAAAAAAAAAAAAATGAAACAAAAAAAAAGTAAAAATTATAAAATATTTTACCAAAAGTAAAAATTATAATAAAAGAATCCAGAGTACTAAAATAAAAGCAATGTTTTGACCAAAAATGTTTGATACTAGCAGCCATAGCCAGATGGTCAATCAGGAAAAGCATTCCATTAGAATAGAGCAAAAACAGCATCATGTTTAAATGTAACAGAGTCTATCTACTTTAATTACTTTAAATTACTTTCATTAAAAAACATTTTGAATTAATGCAGTTAATGATATAAGCAGTCTGCATTTATTCAATGAAAGTTAGCCAAGGACATTAAGGGATAAAACTGGCAACATGAAAACCCACTTCAGATCACAATTATTTTGAAGTTTTTGAAATTCAATTTGTCAGTGTGCTACAAGGGATGTAAAAGAGGATACATTTATAAAGCAATTCTTAATTTTGATGAAAATTGGTTGTAAACTCAACAAAAAATAAGAAACCAGTTAAAAAAAATAAAGAAAAAAAACCAGAAATCACTATTTTTTACTATTGACACTTGTTTTCACTATCAGGGTGGACTAAATTATCAAGTTAAATGACTGTTAAACAATCAACTTATTGTTGGCTACAAATTGAGTGAAATTTGTATTAAATTGCTTGAAAATTGAAAATCTGTGTTGAAATTGATTTGCTGTTTTTTGCTAAACACAGTGGCATAGAAATAAAAAAGAGGTATCGTTGAACTCGTCATGATGTAAGTAACCTACATACCAGCTTTGAATGAAATCAGAGGAAAAAAGTTAAATTTATCAATTTTTGATGGGCTTTATCGATTATTGATTTTTTAAAAATTATCAATTTTTTTTTTACACTAAGAACCTATCTATTACATTGTACAATATATAAACCAACTTTGGTCAAAATCGGGTGGATGGATGTCAAGCGAAAAGGTATCACACAGGCATCCTGTTATATATATATATATATATATATATATATTTAGAGAGAGAGAGAGAGAGAGAGAGAGAGAAGAGAGAGAGAAAGAGAGAGAGAAAGAGAGATTGAAAAAAAAACGTTTGAATTAAAAGCGTAAAGTAAAAATTTTGAAATATAGGAATTTTTAAATATAAAATATCTGGAAAATATTTGAAGTGAAATAAATGTTTGATGTAAACAATGGTCCAATAAAATAAATTCTGAGGAAATTTAAAATCTAAAGCTTTCAGAGCTAACAAAAAAAGAAAAAAGAAAAAAATATATCCTAAAAAAGAAAAAAAGATTTAAAGATTTAAAAAAATAAAAAAAAAAAAAAATAAAAAATGAAGATGTAAAATCAGTGATTTTTGGTTTTGATCATATCTGTTGAAAGGAACAGCAACTTTTTGGAGGTAAAAATAGAAAATTCAGAAATTTTACTTACAGAACAGTCAAAGACAATATCTGTTCCACAGCTTGGGGACGGACATTTCACCTTGAATTTCTCGCAATCTTTGAAACGTTCCTCACTGTTCAGCTTGAAACCCAACAGAGCATCATCACCATCATCTTCATTTTGTTGAAGACTACGTCGGTAACTGGTTGGATCAAGACCTATAGTTTGAAAAATTTTTATAAATTAGAATGGAAGGAAGGGAAAGCGAGAGAAAGCGAGAAAGAGAAAGAAAAAAAAAAGCGAGAAAGAGAAAGAAAAAAAAAAGCGAGAAAGAGAAAGAAAAAAAAAGCGAGAAAGAGAAAGAAAAAAAAAAAGAGAAAAAAAAAAAAAGAGAAAAAAAGAAAAAAAAAAAAAAAAAAAAAAAAGAGAAAAGAAAAAAAAAAAAAAAAGAAAGAGAAAGAAAAAAAGCGAGAAAAAAAAAAAAAAAGAAAAAAAAAGGAGAAAAGAAAAAAAAAAAAAGAGAAAGAAAAAAAAGCGAGAAGAGAAAGAAAAAAAAAAAAAAAGAAAGAAAAAAGAAAAAAAAAAAAAAGCGAGAAAGAGAAAGAAAAAAAAAAAAGAAAAAAGAAAGAAAAAAAAAAAAAAGAAAAAAAAGAAAAAAAAGCGAGAAAGAAAAAAAAAAAAAGAAAAAAAAAAAAAAAAAAAAGAGAAAGAAAAAAAAAAAAAAAAAAAAAAAAAAACGAGAAAAAAAAAAATTGCGAGAAAGAAAAGAAAAAAAAAAAAAAAAGAAAAAAAAAGAAAAAGAGAAAAAAAAAAGCGAAAGAAAAAAAAAAAAAAAAAAAAAAAAAAAAAAAAAAAGAGAAAAAAAGAAAAAAAAAAAAAAAGAAAGAAAAAAAAAAAAGAAAAATGGGAATTGAATGACGTTTCAATTCTAAGAGTTTGTTTTAAGTCTAATGTAGCATATTCCAAATTTGGAAAGATTTTTGGCTTATATAGCCAAAAATCTTTTCAAATTTGGAATATGCTACAACTTCAGCTGTTTTGCCACCAGACAGCCTTCAGCTACTCCTGCCAATGTTCTTTTACAGTGTTTCCTCACAAAGAAAGTGGAATACATTTTCACCACATTCACTTAAAATTAATATTTAATAGTTGAATATATTTAACTTGGATACACATCTATGAAATATATTGCTGCTGAAATATATATAAAAACAAAAACCAACTGAAAATAATAATTTCTTGTCCCTGAAATTTAAACAAAAATTTAAAAAAACTCACCTAAACATTCTGCTAATATGGCTGCATCAGTGCCTTCAATTGGGTCACACAGTCTCATAACGACAGGATGGATTTGTTGAGCGAGATAATAATGACTATCTGCCGAAAACCAAATGAAAAGAAATCAAGTGAGAAAAATTAACAAGAAGAATAAGTTATACATATAATTGCCTAAATTACTACATTAATTTCTGACCATGCTGTTCAAGGGAGTAGAAAATTATTACTGACCAAGAGATCAAAATTTGAATCTCATCAAGGAGATAACTTTTTGATAATACCTATCCAGGCATATTATGGGTTGACCAAAACCTTACTAGTGAAATTGAGTAGATATTGATAGCTTTATTAAGACAGTCACAAGTCATCATTACAAAGGGTTCGAGAGTATTGGCCTTGTCCAACTAATGATCATGTCAAATTATATGCATTCTCTTCCAAAAACTGTAATCAAGGTATTTTCAGAATAGCTGCAGTTTAAAGCACAGCTGGGATCAGTGTTGAAGAAACTATATACTGGAGAGTTATTAATGAATAGCTAGTCCTTACATATTTTCTGACCACTGACATCCCTTTTCTTCTGATTTTCATCGCACAAAATAGATTCAGTACTAAAACTAGTTCAAGTAAATTTTATATAAAAAAAAACAAAAAAACAAAAACAAAAAAAAACACATGATTAGTTCAATGCTTAAATTCAACTTATAAACACTAATATTATATTATATATATATATTTATAAACCTTCAAACAATCTGATTGCATAATGTAGTTGTTAAATAATCCAATCAATAATTTCTTTGTGGCTTATTATGAGTAAAGCTGACAACAAAATGATATTTCACATGTAAATTGCTGGTTCATTTAAAATGCTGAATTTATTAGAAAATATACTTATTTTAAATAGAGAAAGAAGATTGGTTGGTTTGTTTTTTTTAACCACATATAAACTCCTTATGGGTCAATTAATATTGAAATTTAATTTTCTTGGGAGCTTTGGTAATTTCTTTTTAAAAAAATGTATCGCTGGTAATTTTTTTTTTTTTTTTTACTATAAAAAATGTATTGCTGGTAAATTTTTTTTTTTTACTATGGAAATATATTTTTATATTTTCATAATGTTTTGACTAACAGGTGCTACCACCCTGAATCAGGCTGGACCCAAAGACAACAACAATTAAGACATGGTTCCACACTCCTCAAAATGTCCCATTCAGAGGTCTTGCTGCCAGATGTAGTTTATTGTCATACCCAAGATGAACAGAAAGAAAAAAATAACTTCAAAAGGGTCGGTTTGTACTCTTTTCTTGTTAACCTGGGGTTGTTGCCAGACAGGGAAATTAATCCTTGTGACACAGATGCACATTTCAATTTCATTCAAACTGTGTATGTAGATTTTAATACGATAGTTCTAAAAAACATTCCTACAAAATTTTAAAAATATTAAAAAAATAATTTATATTTATTAGATAATTTCCAAAAAGTTAAATAAAATCTTGTAATTACCTAGTTTTTTTTTTAGGGTTTAAAAAATTAATGTTTTTTTTTTCTCTTTTATTTCCAGAGTTTATGATTTTATTGCTCAGCCCAAGGTAAGGGTTGTCCAGAGAAGAATGCATTATTCCAAATTCAATTAAATTGTGTGTATGCATGTGGTATTGTGTACATTAAATGGCACAACCATATACAAGTCACATAATGCACAACACAAATGAATACATACAGAGTCACCTGCAGACAGTATGTGATGGACAGAAAATCAGCTCTTATTTTCATAATATAGATTCTTCTGTCAAGTGGGATAGATAAAAAAAAAAAAAAATTACTACTTTCAATGTTCTTTCTATGCTATATGCACACCTTTGGAGTTAATATATTGTATGTTTTCTTGAAGATCACTTATTATTAAATAATGAATATCTGGAAACCAGGGTTACATTGCAAGTAAATAAATACCAACCCTCCGGATTTCCTAAAAAATATAAAGATGCTATAATCCATTTTATAGAATTCATAGCTATGAAAAGGAGGATTAATAATGTCCTTTTAATAAGGGGCATTATTAAGATATACATAGCTATCATGGAGATATGCCGATGACTTGTTCTAGGTTTCTACAAACACTGAACTTAGAAACAAAGTGTTATAATTCCGTATTCTGCAACGGTCCTATTTTAGTCAAAGAGGAAGATAGACAGCTGGAGATCTGTGTTACAAATCTTTATTTACATACCTACATTTCAGCAATCAAGTTAAAAACTAAACCCACCAGCACCATTGCTTATAAAACACCAGCAATAGACAAGTCCATGTCATAGAACATGAAGTAAGGAACAGTTTTTGCTCTCATGCTATAATAATACAAGTAACTTGCTGAAAGTAATCTTGTGTCCATGGAAACTACAACAGATACAGGGAGCACAATAATGTTTTTGGAGAGAACAAGTTTGCAGCTACAAAACACTAATTTTCCAGTCACAAAATTGGCTATACATTTTTTTGCCAGAACAAGAGCTTGTATGCCACACTCATAGACATGGTTAATCACTGTTGCCAATGCCTAACTGTGGTCACATCCACTCTCTGGTCTCTCTAAATAATTATTAAGTATTTATGAATGTAATTTTTTTTTTCCACATTGAAATTCAATGATAAACCTCAGCACAAACTCATGTCAGATGTCATTTTACCAGATTATCAACTGATATTTGAAACATTAAAATAAAAAAAAAATTATGCGTTAATGGAGAAAGAGTTCAACCACTACTGCTGTTCCACAAATATGTGCCTCTGATATCATGGCCTTATATAATAAAACAAAAAGTATTGAAGCAACTTTGAATTTTATTCTAAGGTCTGATAAACGATTGCAAACTAACCTATGGACAGATCACCATTCTTTGCCAACTCATCCGGATGGTAAGCCCTTTGAGAATGTCCCAGGTTTGAACCATCCTGAAATTAAAAACATAAAATAAATAATTGCACTGATTAGTTTTAATTTCAAAGTTTCACAGAACAATGTATCCCACCACTCATCTTTCAGTTTATGGTTTGCATGTATACCACTAATTTGTATGGTCAAATCCCAGTGGATCATCATTCCTACTTAAACGTGTGTATTCTTGTACTTCTTTGGAATCAATTGTCTGCATATTCCTTATATAACACCAGATTTACTAAGGTGCATGACAATTCCCCCCCCCAAAAAAAAAGCATCTCAACAGGAACATCAACATCTAGATTATACCATTACTGTAAAAATCCATGTAAATTTACATTTTTTTTTGCATAAAAACTTTAGGTGAGTGTAAATTACATGAATAGATCATTTCCAGGGTTTTTCTTTTTTTAATGATTCTTGTTGAAAAAAAGACAAATATTTGTACCGGAAGTTGACCCATTTAATGTCAGAATAATTTTATACAGAAAAAAAATGAGGCCTTAAATACCTTAAATGTAATGAATTTGACTTTTACTTATGTTGGATGGTATAATGCTTACTTTTTATGTATAAATTTACTAAAACCATAAGATGGTTAACTACTTTTTGAATTCTGATGTACATGTTGGTAATCATGATCTGGGCCATTGTTCTCGACCAATCAGAATTCTGTTTACATAATCAGTTTGGTTGGTCACATCCCTCCGTTGGTTGAGTAAAGTGTCATCCAAGCTGATGTTTATTGGTAATTACTTAATAATTAAAATTAATTTGCAACACCTGTGAGTATTTATCAGCTTTGTTCTTGATGATAATTCTTAACAACTTTTCCTGATGGTTGGAATGTTGAACTTAACCCTTTATTTCGCCATGTTTAATGTATGTCAGTTATCAGTTATCTCCTGTTAATTTCCTTCTGAAAGTTCTCCACTGCCTTAACCAGGTATTGAACTCACACTCTTTGGGTCCTGTCACTGGATCTAACCAATGCCTTTATCCACTGTGCTGTGTGTCCTTGAGGACATTTGTGTATGAATTTCTGGGTATTAAACCTAACGTCTTCAGTAACTATTTTTACCTGTGCTCATATTGCAATTTTTTGCTGTTATCATTGCATGTTTTTAGAACAGTCTACCCCAGTGAGCGAAATAAAGGGTTACGTTCAACATTCCAACCACCTGAAGAAGGCCAGAGCGTACAACGGCCGAAACATTGTAATAAATATGGTGACAAAGATGAGGACAATAGTCCAAATAATGTATATAATACCTCATCTCAGAAATATAGACAGACATTTTTCCTGAGATCATGATTTAAGAAGACATACAGCAGTATGCTAAAGATCAGACATAATCTCCTTGTCAGCAACAAATGTAAGTTTATTATAAACACTTTGTAATTTAATATTTTTTAATGTGATACTTACCTATTAAATAGAAATTATTTTTATCTAATGAAAACTTAAATTCTGAAAATTTTGGCGTGTGAATCTTACACGTGTAGATTTAAAAAAAAATAATTTATCCATAAAATTACCTGTTTAAATTATACAGGTGCACAAATTACATGGGTTTTAATGGTACTTTCTCTTCAAGTTATTTGTGATATCCATTTTAGTTGATGTAGGTGTTGAAAGTTCCCAAACAATGTAGTTTCTGTTATTTGGCAGAGTATAAGATTATTAACAAATAAAATCACTCATACAATTACTGAGAATACAATTACTAATTACAAATTTTTTCTAAGAAATGTACTTTTTTTTTTTTTTGAATATGCCTCTCTTACCTTAGGTAAACAATTCAGATAAAGAAACACACACACAAATAAATCCTATTTGGTCATTGAACAAAATAAACTACCAAATAGTTTGTTTTTTTTTAATAAATAATTATGATTACAAATCTAAATAAGGATTTAAGAATAGGTGAAAAGTACAGATGAATTATAAGTATAATTATATAAGTACAGATGAATGAATGTTCGTTTTTTCCCCCAAAAAATATTCCTTGCCAAATTATAAGTTTTCTGATATAACAAAAAATATGCTATTATTATCATTTATTGTTAGCCTCATGACCAGACTTCGTTGTAAGTACACTTCACATATCTGGGTTGAAATGTTGAAAGCCAGAGTGATATTCCTTCATGCATACCATATCTTGAACAATTAGACCTGACGGAGCCCATCCCTCTCAGGTCAAACCACAGCTAATGTCCTTCAACTTGAAGGATCACCTTGGTCACAGCTGTTGATTTTATCAGTAGAACCCACTACCGTGGCCATGGACTTCAATCCATGAAGCCCTCTGCCCAGAAATGTAATCTCATCCCAGTACCAACTGCATATGGAGCCTAGTCTATTGAATTGTTAGATGGTCATCGACCTTTAAAAGAAAGTCTAATCTGCCCTTTGACAGGTCTTGACTTTAATCCTGCTGAGTGTCTAGCAGAAAAGCGAAGGAACACATTGAATCACCAATGACCCAACCATGTGACAGGTAGCATTGGGTTACATGGTACAAGTAGCACTTGTAGAGTGACATGACAAAACTATTATCATTACATCTCCATTATTAATTATTAGGGTAATGTAAAAGTTCTAATGCCATATTTTGCACATTGTTGAAGAAATATTAAAAGTGTCTGTTAACTTGACCCAGCTTGTAATTGCTTGTGAAACTGGTCAGCTGTTGGACATTGTATATGAACTAGGCTGTTGAATTGGGTTACATTTAAAAGTCCAGTGCCACTAAATTTTTGATGTCTGATTATTAGCCCAAGGTAGCTCAGCTAACGTTCGTGATGAGACAGAGGTTTGACAGCAGTTGATTGTAGAAAAGCTTGGTTTTATTGTACAGAACAAGAAAACTTGATTGCATTTCATGACTAGAATTAAATGTGGGAAAATAATTAAGAAATTTAATTAATTTTGGAAAATTAAATAGGCTGATAAGGGTTCTTATGGAACTGAACCTCATTATTAATTTGGAAATAAATTTGTATAACTGTGTACAGCCTTTTATCCAATCCACTACACTCACCAAGTCAGGTGAAAATAATGAGTAGTAAATCATTGCCTTGATTGAAATAAAATTTTAAAAAAATAAATAAATAAATAAAAACAGTTGGGACTAAGTTGCTCCCATAAAGACCATTGGATTGGTGAGGCTTTCTTAGGCAGAAAAGAGAGAAAAGAATAAAAAGAAAAGAGAGAAAGAATAAAAAGAAAAGAGAGAAAGAATAAAAAGAAAGGAGAGAAAGAATAAAAAAAAGGAAAAAGTTGTACATCAAAGTGATAAACAAAATCAGATTGGTGCAAATGATTTTCAACTCATGATTTAGAAATTCTAAATATATTGATAAATATCACATTGATTATTCTCATGCCTAGATTTGATTGCTATCAACTTCAACCAGTCTACTCAAACTGTATAGAGAAATAAATGCAAACCACTTTTGACATGTTTGATCATTGACAATACCTTCTCCATAACTGCAAAAATCATTCTTTTCCATATTTGTTAAATTTTGACCTTACTTAAAATAAAAAAAACAATTGACAGTCTTTATAAAATGGTAAATTATAAGGATTTCCTTATAGTTGGTCCACATATTTTAATAATTTAGTAAATGTCTATAAATTTATGAATAAAATTTTTTTTCATATTTCTTTATAAATTGGTGAATGATAAATATTGCATTAGTTTTTAGAATGTTGTAAATATAAAATTGTTCTTTTGGTTTTTAAAAGAATAAACATTGATGAGGAATGAAGGTTGTTAAAAATAAAAGCAGTGTCAATGGAAACCCATCTTTTGACACTCGGGTTTTTATGGGCATGAATGTCCAAATTTAAAAAAAAAAAAAAAAAAAAAATATATTTTTGTTTATCCTAGCAAGTGTCGCAGCATGAAGAAGATTTAAAGAAACCAAATCTACTAAAACAATTTCCACTTATTTTTTTCATGGGTGAATCAGTCTATTTAAGTATTGACTTAAAATCAATTGTTTAATTCTTTGAAAAGCAGACACACTTCTAGTTCTACCATCATCTCTCTTGTAGTCAAAAAGAATACTGAGAAAAATTCTGGCTTTTTGGGGCAGCTTGTTGTCACTTGTTCTCCAGTATGTGATGATGAAAAACTTTATAAAACAGGAAGAATTTGTCTGAAGATTATGTTTACCTGTATATTTTGATGTAAAAGTAATAATATTCTCTATAAAACAATTTTCTTCATGGAGCTGAGTGGCAAAAACCTGGTGACATGAATTAATTGATTTGTTTTTTTATGGATTATCAACACTTTATAGGTTATTTAAAGCCAAAAATTATTTTTAGATTGTAAGATTTTTTTGAGATAATAATGATTTAGCGATACAAGCCTTACTAATTAACCCATAGATAAGGGGGGACAAGGTGGATTCCTACCTTCTAAAAGGGCATTTGAACATAAATGATAACAAACCTAACTAAAATTGAAATTCAGCTCTGATTAATAATTTCAAGCCATTATCCCTTACACCACCTGCACATCCAAGCTTACAGCACCTGGTATTCCCAATTCTCAACCAGTTGCTTAACTTCAGTGATCTTACAGGAACCAGTGTTTCAACATGACGTGTCACTTTTATAATGTCAACGAATACTCATTGTCACTTTCATAATGCTTGTTGTAGTGGAGACTGTAATTGCAGATACAACTATAGTATGCTGTTGAACAATGCTGATGTCAGACACCTTCAAATAGCATTCACACTAATTGTACTTGCTTGAATAGTAATCTATATAGTGATCCAAATAGAGAAATAGTATAGTGAATAGTATAGAGAATAGCAATCCGTCTAGTAATAGAGGCTAGAGTAGAAAGAGTAATCTGTATAGTAATAGAGGATAGAATAGAAATGGTGATCTGTATAGTAATAGAGGATAGAATAGAAATGGTGATCTGTATATACACCAAGTTAATTCCCATATGTACATTTCCTTTGTGATCACATGGTCTACTTATTCAATATACTTCAATTATATTTATGGGATCATCTGTGTTTGCTCTCTGGTGATCTGTGTTCAATCTCCAGTGTTGGCAGCAACACTATTCCTCTATAACAGACCCTAAGACACTGGTGACATGAATGAAAATAAATTGATACAATATTGTGAAGGGTTATCACTGGAATGGACTGGGAGATAAAATACAACAAAGAAAATAAGAAACCAAGATAAACGTTTGTTACATTAAAAAGCATCTCTTACCTTACAAATCAAATAAGGTACAGTATCTCCAGCCTTCATCTTCTTTCCACCTTTGCTGTTTATTCTCATAGCAACTTGGACATGAGGTAAGCTTTTTTTATTTGGATAATCCTCGGGATCTTTTGTCAATTGCTAAAAGAAGAAAAACAGCAAGAAAAAAAAAAAAAGTCTTTAATGCATTGAAGATGCAGACTTTGTGCACAGCTCTGAACAAATTGGAAATGCTTCCCCCCCCATTAAAAAAAAAAAAAAAAAAAAAAAAAAGAATTCATACCTTTCTCAAGGGTATTAACACGTAAGCGAATGTAATAAACTTGACTGGAATTCAAACTCAGCTCTCCAATTCCTCAATCCAAGCCGCCATATATACTCCACCGTGCCTCCACTGGTTTTCAGTAATTCTGTTTATTTCACAGGGGTTCTATGTTCAGTCTAGCATTTTCTCTGATAGTAGGTAGATGTCACACAAGTCCCTTCACCTCTTCTTACTTCTACCGAGCAACTGCTACCAAACATGACTCTTTGGACAGACATTTCCCTTCTCTTTCTTCCGCCCTAACTAAGACTACTTTTCTAAGGCTGCAGATGGAAACTTCTGGCTACATGTCACTTGACTTGCTTTCATTTGTTGATTATTTTCTTCCTCATCAGTCAAGTGGATTGTCACTTTAAACCCCAAAGACCATCTTCTGGCCATAAAAATACTCGACATTTGCAATTCTGATAAAATTTAGTGCTCACTTAACTTTGTGCGTGTTCAGCTGGTTGCCACATAAGATAATATATATTTTTTAAATATTTGGTCAAATCTAAGAGGACATCTTTGATGCTTTAAAAGATTTTCCACTGGTGGCAACAATGTTCAAACCCTGATAAAATCAAGAATTTTAAATGTCTACAAGTCTTTCTCTTACTATAGAGACTGACACATGATCATCCGACCTTTATTTTCTTTAGGTTAATCTTGTTCTGATTGGTTCCAGCAGTCCATACCTTCACAGCTAAGACCCGCCATGCCATGCACACCGAGTCTACACATTTTCAGTCTCTTCATATTCCATTCATAAGGAGGAAGTTCCACTCAGACAGCTTCTTCCCCAAAACTTGCAATGAGGAACAGACTCCAGAGGGGATGCTTCTCCAATCACTCTTTGAGTAAAGAGTCAACCGTTATCTATCCAACATATCGTCATAATGTGCAACCCTTACTAAATGCACTTACAAAATCCCCATTCAGTAACAATCTACCTTGAGTGGCACTTGGGCCTTGTAGCGGGTTTGGTTTGGTTTCTTTTACAGCATATCAACCTCAATGGGTTATTTAATGCTGACAAAATTTTTATTTCTGGTAATATTTTTTCTTCAAAAATGTATAGCTGGTAATATTTTTTTTACAAAGTATTTCTGGTCTTAAAACCTCTTTTTACACTTACATAGTGTTTTGACCCCAGTTTTGGGGCTAGTTACCCATAGTTGGGACCCTAATAAGTGCTACCACCTTGGTCAGGGTGGACCTGGGAACACCAGCAATTAAGAGGTGGTTCCACGCTCCTCAAAACCTCCTGATCAGAGGCCTTGCTGTTGGATGTAGTTTATTGTCTTACCCAGGACGCGGATGTAGTTTATCATCATACCCAGGACGGCCTTGTAGTGGGTGAATGATATCAATACCAATACGAATAAAATTAAAAGATTCTTATTTACCTTAGTTATGAGGTATAAATCAACTGGTAATTCATTCTTGCAGACTTTTTCTCCAACTTCAGATAATTTCAGGTGAATATTTTCCAAAACGCTTTCACGGTTCTGGCCAGATAAGATTTGCTGAACAACAAAACTGTGGTGGGGAGGAAAGAAAAAAAAAAGAAAAAAAAAAGTAGGTTTTACATAAAAAAAACAATTCATCCGAAAGGCACATACATCAAAATTTAAATAAATATAAAACATTATCTCATTTTGAAATTTATTAAAAATCATCAAGTTCCTTAATAGATATAAAATGGAAATAAAATCTGAAAATTTACAAGAGAATCTAAACAAAACATGGGCATGAAAATAAAGGAGATCCTGATTCAAATAATAATTAACATATTTAATCGCATACAAGATTCTCCCCAATTCAATGCTATATATTACCTTTAATATTAGAGTACAACAAATTTAGGTTAGGTACAAGTAATGGTCAGCTACAGTGTCTGAGTAAACATCAGATGACTAGATAAGCCAACTTCATATAAATGGCCTGGGTAATATTTTAGGAATGAAAAGAGGGCTGTGCTAGAACCTTTATATATATATATATATATTTAAAAAATTAAATAACTTCACCATTTATGCACTAATTTATGACTAACAAAGCACAGACTTAAGTGTACATGTACCAGTGTATGCTACTATATATATATATATATATATATATATATATATATATATATACACGCATTTGTATGCACAAGCATATAATTAGACATATATGCACAAATTTTAACAATAAAAAATAAATTTTATTATAAATTTAACATCCTAAAATTAATACTTATTATATCACCAAACCCAATTAAAAAAACAAAATAATATCCCAATGAACATGTATAAATGTGTATGTATAAGTATTTACCATTTGAGCATTAACATCAATGGTATTATATATATATATATATAGCCTAAGCATTAATATCAATTATTTATATAAAAAAAATTTAAATAAAAAATTACAACTTCCCAAGCAAAAAAACTAAAATGCCCATAAACAAAAGTAAAGTAACAATTGGTCACATGTATAGATAAAAAAAAAAGAAAAGGGGGTCAACATAATCACAATGGAATCACACGGACAAGCAGAAACACATAGAATGCAAAAGAAAATTTACACCACTGCTAAATGTGTGTAAAAAGATAAAATTGAAAAAATATAAACAGTAAATTGCTGATACCCTCTGAAGAGTAGACGAACAGGTTTGTCTATGAAACTCTGGAGTTGGATTGCTGAAGGTAACATCAATCAGCTAAGTGACAAATTTTACTAACATTGATCCTATATATAAGAAAATAGAACTTTACTTGATTGCAAAGGATTCCATAGCTGAGCAGTCAAAGTTATTTTGAATCCTACCAGAAGGATTTTCTTCATTAGGTTTCTTTTATTGAGCAAGGCTAGTACACAAAATACACACCATTTTTAAAAAAGAAAAAAAAAAGGACAATCTACTCAAATATGGGTATCGGTTAAAAATAACACACACACACACTTCCGTGTAAATCCTTTAGTATGGTCATGATCACTTGGCTAATATGCATAGAATCACCCTGAACATCTGGAATGAATGCTGGGAGAATTCCAAAGGACTGGACAAATGTGATCATGATGCCATTGTACAAAGGCAAAGATAAAAGGCAGCTTTATGGGTATTATCGTAGTATAGCATTACTTTTGCTAATGGATAAAATCCTAAAGGTTTTTTGCTATCTCAACTGAAGGCTCACATTGTGGATATGATACTGCCAAAGTCACAATGTGCATTCCAGCCTAATAGGGGAATAATGGATATGACAATTCCATGAGAAGTATGAAAAACAAGGCAAGTTTCAAATCTCTCTAGATCTTACCAAGGCTTTTGAAACTGTCAACAGAAAACTTATGTGGAAGATCTTCAGATGCTTAGGCTCACCATTTTGTAGATATCATCCAATTCAATCTGATGTGGAGATATAGGTTAATGTTGGTAGTTTACATTCATGACCCACCAAAGTATAAAATGGTGCCAAGCAAGGTGACATTATGGCACATACATTACTCTCCATTTTCTTTTCTGTTGTTCCCCATGCCTTTAAGGATTCTGACTAGGGTCTTGATGCCTGGTGTTGACCTCACAATGTCCACTTTTATATTTACATGCAGTTTTACCCATAAAACACCATACCTTAAAAACTATATTTTTATTGTAATATATATATATATATATATATATATATATATATATATATATATATATTATTAGGATGTATCAAAAAGAACAATCCCAAAATAAAAACAATGAAAAATACATACTTTCCAGCATTCTTGGCCAAGTCACACCAGTCTCGCCTCACAATATCAAGCCCTTTAAGCTCTTGTTCTTCTATAATTTTGCCATCAGCATCTTTTGTGATTTTAATAGCTGCATATTTTTTCTTCTTGAGGAGTAGCATGGATTTGTAGATTCCGTCAATGTCAATCTCAAGCAGCCGATACCGTTTGTTGATATCAGTTTTGATCTTAGAAAAAAAAAAAAAAAAAAAAAATAAAAATTCAGATTAACTTGAAAAACAGAGTGTAAAGAATATTGTCCTCACTTACAAGCCACTCTATTTTGAACAAAATAAAGATTAAATCATGGGGATGGGTAAAGATTAAAAACTTCTTCCAATGATCAAAATGCTGCTCAAAGCCCACTGCCGAGATCAGTGCAGTATCCTCTGAAAAGTCTTATTGATTTTTTTTTTTTTTTTTTAAATCAATTCACTCCAAGCAAGGTGATGATGTCACTAAGACACAAGGGGTTACTGAAAGTGAAAGAGAAAGTTTTAGAAGGAACCAGAAACCCAATCCGAAATAGGAAACATGGGATAAAACTCAACAACCATTCAAAAGACCAGGGAAGGTGTTTGATTTGGATCATAGGTGAACCTATTTACTCATATTTGGATTTTAAAAGTAGGTTTGGTTTGGTTTGGTTCATTTTACGGCATATCAACCTGAATGGGTTATTTAATGCCGACAAGATTTTTATTGCTGGAAATATATATTTTTCAAAAAATGTATTGCTGGTAATATTTTTCTTCAAAAATTCATGGCTGGTAATTTTTTTTACAAAAATGTATTGCTGGTATTAAAACCTACTTTTACACTTTCATAGTGTTTTGATCCCAATTTGGTGGTTAACTGTTTGCCCATGGCTGGGACTCTAACAGGTGCTACCACCCCAGGTCAGGGTGGACCTGGGAACACCAGCAATTAAGAGGTGGTTCCACACTCCTCAAATTGTCCTGATCAGAGGCCTTGCTGTCGGATGTAGTTAATCGTCTTACTCAGGATGGTATAAAAATTATTTTTCAGTTTATGGTAAAAAGCTACTGCATAAGTTAAAACATGCAGGTATGAATCTAGTCCCCATCTGTAATGCCAAGGATGATCATTATAAAGTATCTATAGAGAATATATATATATATATATATATATATAAATAAATGACACACAAATTCCTTATAATAAAACAATATATATGTAGGGAGAAAGAATATGTATACACATACTAACAATAACACATACAATATACAAAAATGGATATAGGTTTAAAAAGATACAGGGGTCATAAAAAAAAGGAACAAAGGCCTCCTTCCTTAACCCTTTGTCTGACCAATCCTAATTGTTTTCTTACCCCTTAAGTGGAAGAATATTTTCACCACAAGTCCAAGAAAAATTTAAATTACTACTACACACAAAAGACAATGGTTAAACACTGAAAATATATGCAAAATCAATTCCTTTTAATATGTGGAAATAACCACTATTTGCCTGATGAAGGTCGTGAGACTAGAAACCCGTGTAGCAAAAAAATATGGAAAACAAAATATAATATATATTTAAAAAAATCCACATTATAACCAAAAATGTTTGTGGCTTCTCTCTAAAACGACCCAGACGCTTTTCTTGTTTCGTGATCTAAAACGACCCAGACGCTTTTCTTGTTTCGTGATCTAAAAACTTTTATTTTTTTCTTGTTTTCATTTTTTTCTAAAAATGAGAACCCAGACGCTTTGGCTTTATAATATAAATATATTCTTGTTTTCTTGTTGATCTAAAAAAACATTTTAATTTTTTCTTGTTAGCAAATTGATCTAAAAAAGCGACCCAGGCCTTTTCTTGTTTCGTGATCTAAAACGACCCAGACGCTTTTCTTGTTTCGTGATCTATCATTTCGACCCAAAATTTTTCTTGTTTAAATGTGATCTAAAGCGACCCAGGCGCTTTTCTTGTTTAAATTTTTGCTTTGATCTTTCTTGCGACCCATCTAAAATTAATTTTCCTTTTCTTGAAATTAAAAAAACCCAGGCAGCTTTTCTTGTTTTGATGATCTAAAAAACCATCAGGAGCTTTTCTTGTTTCAGTGATCTAAAAAACCCACCAATTTTTAATTTTGATAAAAAAAATCGACCCAGACGCTTTTCTTTCAGGTTCAAAGGATGAAATTTTCTTTTTTTGTAATGGCAAAACCTTTCAGACGCTTTTCTTGTTTGGCTGCATTGATCTAAAACGGCCCAGACCTTTTCTTGTTTCGTGATCTAAAAGCTGACCAGACGCTTTTTCTTGTTTTGGATCTAAAAAACACCCAGACGCTTTTCTTGTTTCGTGATCTAAAACGACCCAGACGCTTTTCTTGTTTCGTGATCTAAAACGACCCAGACGCTTTTCTTGTTTCGTGATCTAAAACGACCCAGACGCATTTTTCTTTTTTGTTGATTGATATAAACCCAGACGCTTTTTCTTGTTCAAGTGATCTAAAAACCCAGGCGCTTTTCTTGTTTAAGTGATCTAAAATTTAATTCCAGATAGGTTCAATTAATTCTATAAATGTTACTTAATTCCTTTTGGGATACACTATTCTTAAATCCATTTTTCTTGAAATATTTAGTGTGGTATGGCTGAAAATCTTGGATAAGGCTTTTAGTGAAAACTCTAAACAAATACTAAAATGAATGTTTCAGGAATTTAAATTTTTGGTCATCTCCAAATCCTCATTCAAATAATGTTTGTACAATGTTCTTTGACAGATAAATTACAGATTTGGAGAAAAGTTGCAAAATTAATGTAATATAATGAAAGGTTCCATAAAAAAAAAAAAAAAATGTCTCAGATTTCCAAAAACTAGGTGATTGAAATTTAAAGGTCAAAGGTCTATGAACATAGAGGTAAAAAGAGAACACTCTTATATATGAATGCAGAATTCTAGAGAAAGAGTATATTCATGATAAATACTGAACATAAGTTAGGAGATAGAAAAAAAAAAAATCCTCATTTAGAACTTCCATTCTTTCAGGGGGTGAGGGTGTTGTAAAAACTTTGCAAACATAAAAATTCAATCTTCAACTTTTCAAACAATTCCTATTCCAACTTTTACTCTGGAATTTTTTCTGCCCAGTAAATAAATCAAATGTGCCAAACAAAAAAATTGTTTTCCTCTTCATATCTATACCAGATATATCAAAAACCAGAGATGCTACAATACTAATTCTTTAACACAATGGTAGTGTATGCAACATCTCTGGGTTTTGTCAACTACAGCGTAGAAATAAATATGAACAAAAAATTACAAAAAATATTCAGCAGAATGTTTTTTTTGTTTTTTTTTGCTAATATTTACATAAAAATATCATTTTAATATAATTTAATATATATAACAATAATATAATATTGATAAAAATAGTCTTGAATAGTCACTCTTCTAGATCATTTTACCTTAATGTGAGTGTCCCCCAGAGTTATATCATTGGACCTACTTTATTCCTAATTTTCATCAATGACCTCCGCTGATGTCATCAGTTCTCGACTCAGTATCGATGCTGATGACAACTATTTACTCCTGTCTTAATGGTAAGTCTGATTAGTTTGAGGTCGTCAAACTGGCAGCTGATCTAAAAAATGAAATTCAATCTGTTGTTAACTGGGGCAAGAAATAGCTTCTTAATTTTAATGCCTCCAAAAAAAAACTGCTCTCTTTTAATAGCCTTAGAGAATCTGTTTTTCATCTGTATGGCTGATGTTAACCGCCACGACTCCTTCCACCTACTTGTGTTAACATTTTCCACCAACATGAAGTAGAAAGAATATATTAAATCAATTGCTACGTCTGGTGCCAGGAAAGTCGGTTCACTATGTCACACTAGAGAATTTTTTTTTGACAGAAGCCATTTTACCATTTGTCCATGTATTGAATATTGCTGCCAAACATGGTCTAGTGCTTCTGATATGTAGTTAGAGATCCAAAGAAGAATCTGCAATGTTATCAGCCTTGAGCTGGCATCTTGGCTTCAGTCACTTTCACACTGTTGTAATATGGTTTCCCTGTACCTTTTCTATAAATACTTTCATCGTAATTGTTCTCTTTGGTACCTCAACTTTACAAATTTAAGTGTACTACTAGATTGGCAGCAAGGTCTCATCATTTTACAGTTGAAAATGTTAAGATGTAGCAGTAAATTCTATGCTAACCATTTCTTCTTTCATACTTCTCACTTGTGGAACTCTTTTCTGGCTTCTTGCTTTGTTAAAAAATTTAAATGCAATGTCAGTCATTATCTATCATTTATCTCCTTAATTCCTGTTCTTTTATTGTCCTCTTAATTTTTTTTTTCTTACATTCTTTTACTCCCAGTAACCCTTTGCAAATTAATGGCTTTATCACCTTGCTTGAGAAAAAAAAATTCCTTGGGCTGTCTTTGTAAGGTTAGATAAATACATGCTTTATTTGGCAGTGTACAAGCAGCCAGTTTAAGTACAATTCCAAATTTAAAACAGTGGAAAATGCAATGAAAAACTACTCTGCTATCTTTCCTAAAAAAAGACAGCAATTGATAGATAATAAAGAAAAGGAATCCATGGAGAAAGCAATGCAAAACCACCCCACTATCTTTTCCATTAAGTCATGGTAATTGATAGATAATAATTATCATAATGATAATAATAATAAAAAAAGGAATTTGTGGAAAGCCATAATTCCTTACAACCTGAAGGGATATGACATTTAAAAAAGATCTATATGTATTATAATTTTAAATAATTTATAATACATTTTAATTAATGAATTATAAACTCTAAATTAAATCTGATCAATAAATTAACTTTAAGATAAAATATGTTGTGAACTGCCAAAAAAAAAAAAAAAAAAAAAAAAGAAAAAAAAAAGTTTTTTTTTAAGCTGTTCACTACATAATGGTAACAATTCATATTTAAACCTCATGTCCAGGCTAATCAAGAGATTTTCATTCAAGTTTAATATTTCAAATTGTATGCAGTGATTTACACTAATTTTTAGGATTATGTGATCACCTGAACAATATAGCAGATTTATCGCTTACATTTTTTTTCTTAAATATTAATGCATAAAACTTGTTCTCTAAATGTTCTCTATGCACATTTTCTATATAAAATGTATTATCTTATTCCAAGTTGTTATCAAAAGTCGTTATCAAAAACCGTCTCATTCCAACTGAGTCGTTATCAAAAACTGTCTCATTCCAACTGCGTAGTTATCAAAAACTGTCTCATTCCAACTGCGTAGTTATCAAAAACCGTCTCATTTACAATTACCTGCTCCACATCAAGATTAAATTTCCCATGTTTATCATTTTTAAAAATTCAATGCATTTTCAATTTAGTTTATGATAAGCAGAAATACAATACATACTCTGTTAATGTTTCATTCAAGTAATTTTTTTTTTTTATCCAAAACTTAAAAAGGCCACATCACGTTGAAACACTGATTCCTGTACAATCACTGGTCAGTACCTAGATGAACAACCAATTAGGAATACTAGGTGTTCTATGCTTGGATGTGTGGGTGGTGTAATAGATAATGACTCTGAATTGTTAATCAGAAAGCCAAGTTCCAATTCCCGTTGGGTTCATTATATTCATTTACAAAGAAATATCTTTAGGAAAGGTATGAATCCACCTCTTTTACTCCCAACTGTAGGTCAATTAGTGAGACTAGTATCATTAAGCCATTACAATATTAAAAAATTCTTAGAATTTAATATTTTCTGGCTTTAAATAACCTGCAAAGGGTTGGTAAGCCATAAAAAAGTGAATGAATCAATCAAAACCAAAAATTGACAGAAAAAATGTAATTTTCTTGTCTTGTTTATCAAAGTAAAATTGGTTCTTACAATTTAGATTTTAATGTTTTCCACATTCAGAAATAATGCAAATATCTAAATTTAAGTCATGCAATTTGAGTTTCATTCACTAGTTTAAAAAGAAGCACTTAAGTTTTGCTTGTGTGCATGTGAGACTGCTATTTTTTAAAAGTCTATGATTACTGTTAACAAATAAGAATTTGCTTTGTCTTATTTTAAGAAATTATTTTTTCTTTTTACAATAAATGTAATAGAATTTTAATTACAAATTTTTGTATCATCCTGATATCGTTCAACAAAAAACCTAACCAGTTGTCCCAAACTAACGTTCTATCATCGCCAGGACAATGTTAATTTCAAATCCTTAAGTGGGTCTTGTATATTGTTAAATAATTCAGAAATAGTAACAATTCAAAAAACAGCTAACGGCACAAATGTCAGCTGAAGCAATTGAGAATGCCAGGTGAAGATTATAAATAGAGTAAATTGCTGATATTAAATGAGAAAGTGGAAGAGAAGACACGTTTAATTTATCTTATTGAGATCAACAATATGTGGCCACAATTATAAATGGTCATGAGGTCATCTCTTCTTCAACAGAAAGGTAAACCACTTCCCCTCTAACTCAATGTTAGATGATAAAGACCACCCCCTCTCCAAGTTCTCATGTCTCACTGAGCACAATCTCAGTAATATTACCATCAAAGTAAGAGAAGTCTCTAGACTTATCAAAGACCTTGACTCTAAGAAAGCCACTGGTTCAGACAAAATTTCATTTGTTGTCCTTAAAAATATCACCTCGGAATTATCCCCAATCTTAGTTGTTCAACTGTTGATTGTGGAAGGTGTCAAACATATGCTCAGTTTTCAAAAACGCGGCTGTGCAATCTTCTCCCTCCCATTAGAGACCCATCAGTCTCCTCAGTAAGCTTTTTGAGGCCATAATCAATAAGAAGTTTGTTGAGAACCTAGAAAAGAACATCCACTTCAGTGAAAAGTTGTATGGATTTCAGTCGGTCTGATCCACTGCTGATGTCCTAACTACCATCTCTTGCAAAATCAGTGACAAAACACATCTCGAGGACCATAGCACTAGATATTTCAAAGTCCTTCAACAAGGTGTGGCACAAAGTCTTACTGCACAAGCTTTCCAGTTATGGAATCACTGGAAGGGTCTTCTGAATCATAAAATCCTAACAGACGGTAGTTATTAATGGCCAGTCCTATGGAGCCCTAGAGGTTGACGCAGGTGTCCACCAGGTGTCATTCCTTGGACCAACCTTCTTTTTGATCTCCATAAAAGTTCTGCCTAAGAATATACTTTGATCATTTGTAAAAATCTGTGCCATTGATATGACTATATACAGGCTCACCTCTAAAAATCTCGATGGTTAAAGTTTGTCATATGATCTCTCTTCTGATCTTGCACAAACTATCCACTGGGATGAAAAAGGATTGATTACATTCAATGCCTCAAAGCCCAAGCTAGTTACATTCCATCTTCACTAATCTGACCCCAAACCACTACCAATCAGGAGGTCCTCTTGGGGAAGTGCTATGCCTTGAAAGACTGTTGGGCCTCAAACTCACATCCAACCTCAAGTGTACATACAATCCATTACTAAGGATGCAGGTAAAATGGTTGGCTCCCTGTACAGCACCAGTAAGTCCTGACTCCTCCTGCTATCCTCTACCTTTACAAGAGCCAGATCAGACCAAAGTACTGTAGTCATATTTGAGCAGGAGCTGCCTGATCTTGCTCTCCAGCCTTGATAGAGTTCAAAGGCATCTCTGAGCCCTTGCAGGTGACAAATTATTCTCCACCCTTTAACTTCTCCCCCACAAGCGGGATGTGGCGCAGCCTCTTGCTGCTCTACGGCTACTTCCACAGAAAGTGCTTCAACAAACTATATTCCTGGCTTCACCAAGGCAAAACTTCTCAGCAAGAACACACTATACCACTTATATAGTAGCAAATCCGCCACATTACCTTTATATTCCATCATTGAGAACTAAGTTACAATCAAGCAGCTTTTCCCCAACAAAGCACTGCCCTGTGAAACTAACTCCCAACAGGATGTTCCCCCAATCACTACAATCTTAACCTGTTTGAGGCTAGGGTTAACCATTATTGTTAAAACCTATATACACAAATGCCCTCCAAACGTAACCCTCTACCTTGAGTGGCCCTCGTCCTTTGTAAAGGGTGAACTTTACTGTAAGAAAAAAAAACAAAAGTATAGACTAAAGAGAGGTAGAGAGATGGAATCATTTTGTCACCCACAAAAGGCGGTCTTCTGAAGGAAGTATAAACAACCACTCCCCTATTTGGGGTTGTGTACAAAATGCTTCAGAGAGAGAGAGGGGGGGGGCTAAAAAAAAAAAAAAAAACAAACAGATAAAGTAAGTAAATGTAAAAAGGTTGAGAAATTGTGAGAAATCAGAGAAATATATGACGACAGAAAATTTTGCTAAATAGAGAAAAAAAAAAAAAATGAAAGGGTGTTTACATCTTTGCCCAACTTGTAAACTTCTTTGTAATCAGTGCAGTTGGTGTTGACCATAATGGAGTCAGTATCACCATAAATTACTTCCAGGTTCATCTGGGGAAATAAAAAAAAACAGAAGAATTACATGTGCACATGCACTCAAACACAGAAGGTTGTCCCAAAATTTTGTTTGGTTCAGTAATTAAAAATATATATATATATATATATATATATATATATATATATATATATAAAAAAACACACGCACACACACATATATATAAGATGACAAAACAAAGTGGAAAATTTCATTAACAATGCATTTCACTGCTTCACAAGTCATGGATCATTTAAGTGATGTAGTGAGATGACCACACTCTATACGCTTTCCTTCCAAGCACTGCTATAAACAACAGAAGTGAGTGAGAAAAGTATAACTTACTGTGTATGCACAACAGAGTTCAAATTCAATGTGCTATGCAGCTTCACTCTGCATACTTTAGCTCTGTTACCATAGCAAAAGTCCCTATATTTTTTTTTTATCAGAGTTTTATATATATATATATATATATATATATATATATATATATATATATATATATATATACATATATATATTTCTTAAAAAAGTAATGGATTTTTATTTATAAATCCAAAAGGTTTTTATAAATTAAATGTTATTTTTAGTGGATACCAATATTTGAGTAAATGCTGCTTTTTTGTTGTTTTTTTTTTTTTTTTTTTTTTTAAAAAGTATATTTATTAGCGTCTACCAGCCTGAATATAAAAAAAAGTTCCCTTGAACATGATTCAAATCTGTGTCTTCTTTGGAAGGAGAAACTATTGTTATGTTTGTTGTGCCGATATGGACTAAGCTACAAATGACATTGATGCTCAAGCGTGGTTGAACAATTCCTTTAATAAAAAATTAAAAAAAAGCTACAACACATCAATTCAACATTTAATCTCCTTCAAAGTAGTACCTTTCTGAAGCCACACACTTTATCCAGTGTCATTTTAACTGATGGAAGCATTCTTGGAACTCCTTTATTGGGATAGCAAGTAGCTGCCTCATCCCTGCTCCTCTTGAGTTGGATTTGATTTTTGAAGCAGAAAAAGTCACAAGTTGCAAGATTTGAAGAATATGGTGGTTACTGGACCTGGGAATGCTGTTTGGAGCCAAAAACTGCTGCACAGTGCACAAGCCATGGTCACTTATGTGATGTAGTGGGAATAGATTTTCAATATTCCATATCTGCTCAACTTCATGTCTAAAAAGTAATGTTTTTTTATTTATTAATCTGAAAGATTTTATCTCTTAAATGTTATTTTTAATGGATACTCATATTTGAGTAGCTGCTATTTTTAAACAGTATATCTATTATTTACCAGTACATATTTTTCTTTAATAAGATTTCTCAAATATTCAAGCCAGCAAACGATAATATACTGTTAAAAACCCCAAAATATAGAATATAGATATCCACTAAAAATAACATTTAAGTGATTATTATATATATATATATATATATATATATATATATTACATTAGCTTAATTGAATAACATACTTGCCATTTTATTCATTCATCTTCTACCACTTTTAAAAAATTTCATATCGGCCTAATTTTTTTTTTTTTTTATCATTCCCAGCAAAGAACCAATCAAGATAGCTTTTGCATTCTTCCAGAGAACTTAAAATTTTTCACAAAGAGAATTTTTGCAAAGACCAGAGTAAATTTGAATCCAAAGGTGCAATATCTGGTGAATTCAGTGAATGTGTGAAAACTCCTGAGCCAAGCTGTAACAATTTGTGCATTGTCACCAAAGGAACATCTGGTCTAGCATTATCTTGGACTATCATGGACTTTCTCTTAACCAATTCTTTTTTGCAGATTGCTATCTTCAGTTTAACCTGAAGCAGTAATAATTGAAATCAACTGTTTACTTCTCTAGAAACAGCTCAAAAAAAAAAAAAAAAAAAAAAAAAAAAAGGACTCCTTTCCGATCCCACTAAAAAAGATAGCAAACTTTTCTTTGGTTACAAACTAACCTTTTATATGATTAGTAGTGGTTCATTTTACTTACCCCAAGATCTTTTACATTCTACTTATTATAAGGTATCCACTTTTCTGTAGCTGTCACAATTTGTTTAAAAAGTGAATAACTTAAATATGGTCCAATTGTTTTTTCACTTAACTTTTGTGGAAGCCACACATCAAAGCAACCAACATAATCTAGTTCCAGCAAATGATTTTCAATACTTGATTTGGATGTTTGGGGCTTGCTGGCCATCCTCTGAAACATTTATCATTGGCTATTTTCAAACAAAGTCTTGAATAATATCAACCACAACTGGTCAATCCAACTATGGAACCGGATGAAACCTCACAAACCAAGTAAATCATTTTGGGCCATTTTAGTCACCTTTTTACTGTTCTGAAAATAAAAGTGTCTGCTTCTGATGAAGATATTTATATTTAGCTCTTGTTTTCCATGTTAGAATCAATAAACATTGATACAGCAATTCTAACAATTTTTAAAATGCACATTGATATGACAGCTGTCAGAATACAATTAAAACTCTTAAATTAATGGCAAATAGAATCTTTCTGACTAAAGAAGCACAAAGTTTGTTTTAATAAAATAAGAAAAAAGTTTAGCATTTCTTAAATTTAAAAACGTGAAAATTCAAAAATTCATTCTGATTTTATTGCGTGTGTGAACACACGATGCCAGGTCAGGACCAATAATATTGCTGATTCTTTGAGTTTTATCAAGAATCTCTAAATATACAGCAGGGGCCATATGTGGCAGCAATATTCAAAGCATGGACAAATGGTAGACTTATACATATGTAAAACGGACAATGTTTTTTTCCAGAATCTATTACAACACATGAACCAACATTCTTAGCAGCAGACCTAACAATTGATTCAATATAATCTTCCCACTTCTTGTCAGCTAAGGTGGTGCAGCATGCCAGGCTCCTGATGGTTAGCATCAGCTATGCTGTTGGGAAGCTGAAAGGAGCCTCAATGTGTGTGTGTGTGTGTGTGTATATATATATATATGAATCAAAAAAAGAAAAAACAAACATTTTCTGGTCTCTGGATTTGGTAAGGTAATTTCATTTATTGGCCCTCAAAAATGCCAATGCATTTATATATATATATATATATATATATATATATATATAAAGCCTATTACACTTTCTGGCTGCTTAGTTATCAAGGACTTTCATGGTGTAGCAAAGTTCAGTTACCCTAATGAAGGTAAACGCATCTTTCGTTAAAATCTTTGAAAGCTCATAACTGCTAACTTGTTTTTTGAATGCAAAATGTAAACAAAGTAATTTCTAAAGAATTAATGGATTTTTATAATCTGGCATTATTTCTTATTGCTATGAATATTATATTTAAAAAACAGACATGTTCAAATAGACATCACAGATTTTTTTAAAAGATTATGCCAGTTTGGTTTTAAAGTATCTTTAATAATAAAGAAAACGTGTCCTAAAAGACACAAAATCTCAGGCCATCAAACAAAGAAAAATTCATACACTTGCTGCTTCTTGCTTTCCAACTTGCTGGAAATTCTCCTCTGTAGTTCCTGTTTTTAAGAACTCTGAAGAACCTTCTGACACCTCAAATTATTGACCTATTTAGTTTCTTACTTCTTTTTAGCAAAGTATTAGAAGCTCTAATAAACACCAAATTGGTTAACAATCTCACTTCACATGACCTTCTTTCGGATAAATAATATAGGTTCCATTTCTCTAGGTCTACTGGTGGTGTGGTAACAGCTACTATTGAATTTGTTTATCAAGCTTTAGATAAGAAAGAAGAAGCTCAGGCTGTGGCCCTAGATATCTTTAAGGTGTTCAATAGGGTTTGGTATACTGGCCCTCTCTCTGAGATCAAGGTCTATGGCACTGATTCTCAACTGCCGTGCCATGACACACTAGTGTGCCACATGATCCCCTTAAGTGTGCCGTGAAATATTGTCACTGCATATATGTGTGTGTGTGTGTATGACTGTGGAAGTAGTAATGGTACACCAATAGTGTTTAATAAATGAATAAGTATTATTTTTTTTAAATAATTCTTTTTACTATTTTTCAATTATGTTATTTTAAATACATTGTTTTAACATTCATTTTTTTTAAAAAGTATTTTTATTTTTTTTAAATTTAACTTTTTTAAAGCTTTCTTTTATTTGAATAAAGGAATATTAACCTTTTTTTCCCATAATTGTATTCAACATTCTTTGTTTAATTCAAAATTCAAGTTATATTGAATTATGAATTAATATTGTCAAAATTTCTGATATACAGCATTGAGCATTTGACTTAATAATTTTCCAATTTTTAAAAGTATATTACTCTGAAATTTGTTTACAATAAAAAGGACATTAATCATACTGAAATTTTTTTTTTTTTTTTTTCATAGTAATATTTTATTGCACTTTTGTGCACACATAATTTGAAATGGAGTGCAGATAAGTTCAAGGAGAAGAATCAGTGTATTGTTTATATAAAATAGCTTCATCCATTTTACTAAGTGTGCCTTGATATCTTCATTTGCCAGTTGAGAAGAACTGGTCTATAGTGTTTCTGGATGAATATTTGGCTTAATCCAATTGTTCAGAACAAATTGTTTAATGAAGGTCATGTTGAATAAAAAACCATTCTACTTCATTTCATATTAATGTGAATGTCCTCAAGGGCTTCAACCCCTCTCCAAGTTCTCCACTGCCTTAACTGGGTGTCCTCAAGGACACATGGCACAGTGGATAAAGGCGTTGGTTAAATCCAGTGAAAGGACCCAAAGAGTGTGAGTTCAATACCCGGTTAAGGCAACTTGGAGAGGAGAATTAACAGGAGATAACCGATAACTGACATCCATTAAACATGGCAAGTAGAAATAGAACAGTCTACACCAGTGAGCGAAATAAAGGGTTCAGTTTGACATTCCAACCACCTGAAGAAGGCTGGAGCATACAACAGACGAAACGTAATAAATATGGCGACAAAGATGAGGACAATAGTCCTAATAATGTAAATAGTGTACATAA